TTACCTATAACAACTTTTTTATTTATTTATAGAGGACATTGTAGCAGACTAGCTGGTAACCCGACCGGTTACCTCCACTAATTCCCTTCCTTTTAACTGTTCAGGAACCCTTACAACAAGCAGGCGTCCATTTCCCCCCCAGTAACTGTACAAAACACAGCTGGAGGTTAAAAACACTGACAATCCTTTATTGGTACACACACGCTTGTATGCTCAGACCCCCACAGGGGGTCTTCCTCTTCAATACACTTTCTATGTCCCAGGCAGGAGAAGGGGGATGGGTTACAGGTAACCATCTCCTGCTCTGGGAGATACCAACAGAACACAGTTGCATACATTAAAACCTATTACGTATGTGGGGAATGGGGGACACACATATCACTGGAAGGCCCCGGGTCCCATCTAGGATCCCAGCAAATAGCAGGGCTATCGGATGTACAGAGCCCGAGAAATCATCGTCTAAAATCTGGGGTTTGAGGCTCTGTACATCCCCGAAATTGAGTTCCATAGAGTTGCTTGGATTAGCCCGATGAATTCAAACTTCGCACCTAAACCAAGCAACAACCAATTAGGAGAAGGGGTGCAATACCCGTTTGAAAGGGTGCTCCTTCTCCAATTGGTTGCCTGTGCCCCGCAGCGACCAATCAGCGCTCACTCATGCCAATCAATCAGGAGAATGGTGCGAAACCAGTTTGAATGAGTGCTCCTTCTCCCATTGGTTGGCACGGACTTCCAGGATGCCAAAGGGAGCTCTGTGGTTGCGTAGCCAACTCAGTTACAGGGATTCCGCTGGGGCATGCGCCTCTCTTGGGGCTACCTCCACTTAGGTTAATTTTATAGAGCCTGCTAAACAATAGGCCATTTTAAAATTAAGGAATCACAGTAGTTGCAGTTAACGATTCCTCTGCATAACCTCGGGGAAAAAAGGAGTGGCCAGAATGCAGTGCTTGTGCCAGTAGGACCTGATACTTGGCTTTTTACTATGCCCATCGCTAGGGTTAGAGCCCAAAACTGCTTCATCTCTGCAACATCCGTTGGTCGCCACATATTCCTACAACTATAATGTGACCCTGAACGTGCAGAGAAATACTACCTGGCAAACAAATTAACTTGCTGAGCCATGAGCACAAATGTCATCCTACATAAAGAGCTCAAAAAAACGAGTTGACTTGCAGTCGTACAGTGTTAGTGATGCCAGGTGTAACCGTGAACAGCTGCATTTCTAGGGCTATCATGTTTGGGGGCACCCAGTTTCTGTCTGGCATTGGACTTTCTGAGTGTCCTCTTGTAGGCAGTGTTGGGGCACCATCACTTGAGGACTCACTCAGAGGCTCAATTTCAGAGTGTTATGTAAGTTAGTGTCTGAATCCTGGATTTATAGTGTACCTTAGGTTGAGTACTTCTTGTGCAGCCATTGTGGGTGTGTCATTACAGATTCTCATAGAGCAGGGGTTCCCAACCCGTGGTACATATACCCCCTGGGGTACAATTCAGTGCCCCAGAGCCTATGCAAAAAATTGGGGTAATGGCAGCCGCATAGGCTGGAAACCAAATGCCTGGTGGGCCGTGATGGCCATTGTCCGAGCCTGACGGGGGAGATCACTGGATCTCCCCTGCCAGCCTTAGCTGAGCCAGCGCTATCAGAGCCCCGGCCCTGCTGTGTGCCTTCACAGGCCGGTGGGGAAGATCAAAGATCTCCCCCACTGGCCATTTTCTCGGGGTGCAGCGTCTGAGGTTGTGGCGGGGCAGCTCGACTCCAGCATCTCATGCGATAACGCTGAGTGGATAGCAGGGAAGGTGAGATGGCTGTGAGAACACGGGGAAAGTGGTGAGACGGCGGCTGGTTGTGAGAGCAGCAGATAATCGATGCAAGTGAGAGCCAGCGTGATATGAGCATTATCATGGGGTAGTAAGTAGTCCAAGCAGAACGAGGAATTGATTGAGTGTGCTGAGGGGAGAAGCCTGAGAAGCTGGAGAGCATGGATGCTGGAGGTAGGAGGGGTGTAACACTCCTGAAGCTCTTTTTCTAGTATCAATAAAAGTCAGTGAGACTTGAAGAGCGGGGTAAACAGAAAAAGCCATAATACATTGGGAGAGTAAAGTGGAAAAGGAAAAGAGGGTTTGTAACGGCACCCCCAGGTATACGAAGGGTTAAAGCCATTGAGGATGTTCCCTTCCTGAATGCGGAGGCAGCTAACGAACACTCCAATTAGCCGAACAGGGACCATATGAATACTCCACACCATACGAATGCTCCAAACAGGAAAAAAACATACGAATAAATCCCCCCCAAGTATGAGACGAGGCTCCATATTGAGGGTCAAGCAGTGATCTGGTTTAATGGGGCTACCTGCCCAGTATTTATGCAGGTCTTCCACCAGGTGGACACTCCCTTAGGGGACCTGGTGGGAAAACTGTGACAATTTTTACACAGTAACCAATCACAGACATACACAGTTAAACACTCCCACAAGTACATTGTAATCCCTCCTCTCTATCCTGGAGATAATTGGGAAGTAACTCAATTATCTCCGAGGATAGAGACTTACCTCCATTTTATGCACGGGGAGAAAAATACATAAAAATCCACAAATTATAGAATACCGAATAAAACATATAAATTCAACATATCCCCAGATAGCATAGATCTGAGCGCACAAAACTACCGAACAGCGCTCAGATCGGATGCGTACAGTTCAATCGCCATGGAGTCAAAGTCTTTCACTTAATCTAATTAATAGGGATTGTGCTCTGTTTACCGATCAACCTATTTTACTTCCACAAGAAAACGAGTGTAATGTGGCGAAAGTCATGATTAGAATTTAATATGAACTTCCCCATTTATTTGAGTTGTTAATATAAATTAACAGTGTGAATTAGGGTGGGGAATTAAGAGGACTCTTAACGGACCTCAGTTTTCTTGCCCCATTATAGAACTTTATTGCTTATGGGGACAATTGTGTATGGCATAGGTGAGGATGGTACCCTCCTCTATCCCATATTGGATTTTGTTCTATATTTATGGTCCTAAGCTATGGGCCTAAAGTGTATGTGTTTAATGTGTGTTTTGTTTTGTTTTTTGTGATGTGCGTGTACGTGGTGAGCGGAGCTACGGTAAAATAGAAAGTAAATGGATGGAGGGATTGGTTAATATAATGACACTGAATCTGCAGGGTTTTAATTCCCCCCATAAATGAGCTATGTTTAATGAATACTTGTATAGGGAGCACGTGGATATTTGTTGTATTCAAGAAACTCACATGACGGGCAGTGATATTCCGCGCTGGTCATTTGATCGAAACAGCTGTGACCAAAGTATCCAATGATCTAATTGCTGCTAAATCTTGCGGCCATTACTCTATCCTAATTCCCCTTGATCTTTCTGCTGTCTTTGACGCTATTGATCATCAACATCTTCTTCGCATTCTCTGTAATTTTGGTCTACGGCATACTGCTCTCTCCTGGTGCTCCTCTTGCTTACAAGTCCCTACATAATGCTGCTCCAACCTACCTATCCTCCCTAATACACAAGTATGTCGCATCAAGGCCCCTACGCTCTGCCAAAGACCTTCGTATATCCTCTGTCCGTACTCCCACCTCTAACGCTCGCCTCCAAGACTTTTCCAGGGCTGAACCTCTTCTGTGGAACTCCCTTCGCTTCGCTAAGAATTTCACCCAGTCTCCACTTACTAAAAAAAATAATTGAAAACTCACTTCTTCAAAAAAGCATATCAATTAAACTGTTAGCAGGTTTTCATCCCCCACCCTCCATGACTCCTTTCCTGCAACTGTCAAAAATTACCTACTAAGCCCTCAATTAGTACTTTTCTAACAACCTACTTCGTACCCCTACTTTTATCATTTGTGTCACTATATCCCACTCCCTCTAGAATGTAAGCTCATGGAACAGGGCCCTCCACCCCTCTGTTCCTGTACGTCCAGTTGTCTGGTTACAATTACATGTCTGTTAGTCCACCCATTGTACAGCGCTACGGAGTCTGATGGCGCTATTTAAATAATATAATATTAATAATATACTCGGACTAAATAATATAAAAATACACAGCTATAGAACATTCATCCCTAAGGAGGGGAGAAAAAAGTGGTGTAGCCGTTCTTGCCTCAAATAATATAAAAATAGAGATTATATACAAACAGAGTGATGAGATGGGTAGATTCTCCTTTGTGGTTTGTAAAATTGACAATAGAATATATTCTATGTTAAATATATATGCTCCAAATACAAAGCAAGTAAACATTTTTGATTAAAAACCTATAAAAAGTAAATGCACTTGTTCAAGGAACCTTTTATATGTTGCGGTGATTTTAATTAATTGCAGATTGTAATATGGATAAGCGCAATTTAAGTAATAGCGGATGGAGTAATAGACAGGTTAGCTTTGCAAAAGCCTTTCAAGACACACTGGGTCGGTATGAATTATATGATATATGGAGAACTATTAGACCAATGGATAAGGAATACACTTTTTATTCAAATAGACACAAATCTTTCTCAAGAATTGACATGATACTAACAAAAGCAGTATCAATTTTAGATTGTAAAAAAAAATTGAAATTAAAAATGTGACCACGTACAAATGAGTATTAAGAGGCTATTTAAGAAAAAAAAAAATTTTTTAAGAAAAAATATATGAAAAAACTTTCAGATCTTTATATAACTTTAAGTAATTTTAAAATAAGAGTAATAGCGTTACAGAAGTACAAGATATAATAGAAATGAATAGAGTTAAGAAAGAAATTGATGAACAATTAATTCTAAAAGTTAATTAAAAATTTAATGAAAATGAAACAAATTCTATTATTTAGGTAATAGAGCAGATAAGATGATGACCAATTAATTAAAATAACGTAATCTGAAGAATGGAATATTTAAAATAATTGATGAGGATAAACATTATAGTAGTCCGGAAGAAACTGGGAAAGTGTTTAAAAAATGTGATTCTAAATTGTATAATATTGGGAATCCATTAAAAAATAATAGGGAATACATTTAAAAAAATATTTAGAAGAATCAAAATTTTTAAAATTGTCTAGAGAACAGGCCAGCTGCTTAGAAGTTCCTATAGATAATTTAGAAGTTAAGACAATTGGAGCATTGAGACTACGCAAAAAAAAAAAAAAAACTTGCTGACACTCTATCCCATATATGAAAGATGCTTTTAATGAAGTCAGCGATTTCGGATCCTTTCCAACTGAAATGCTTCAAGCTTTTATCCTACCTATACCAAAGGCAGTAACGGATTCTACAAAACTCTCTAATTATAGGCCTATATCATTGATTATAAAAGATATGAAAATATACTCTGCCATTAATACACCAGGAACAGGCTGAATTTGTTTGAGAGAGACAGTCCAATGATAATATCAGGAAAATCATTAGTTTAATAGAATATGTATGCTATAATAAGATGCATCTATATTTATCTCCTTAGATGCTGAAAATGCCTTTTTAGAAGAAGTACTGAGAAATTTTGGATAGGTCTTTACTGGCTCTATCAGGGCCTTATATACCAACCCAACTGCGAGAGTTATTGGGCAGGATTTGAGATCAGAATGGTTTAGTATACACCATGGAACCCGACCAGAGTTGTTCCCTTGCTCCAATTCTCTATATTCTAACATTAGAACCTTTTACGGCAAGGATAAGACATAATATACATATTAAAGGTATTAAGATAGGGGACATGAAAAGCAATCTTAGTATGTATGCTGATGATTGTAAAGCGCTGCAGAATTTGACAGCGCTCTATAAATATCATAATAATAATGATAGCTTGCCATCTCTTTACGATCCTGAGAAATCTGACTTAATTGCTATATGAAATCCAAGAATGTGGCCTTGTTTCCAATTATAAAATAAAGATGAATAAATATCAAGTATTTACTTTTTTCATTTCAGATATAGATAGAAACAGAATAAAGGCAAATTTTGATTTTCAGTGGGGAATTGATGAGATCACCTGTTTGGGGATTAAGATCCCAAGGAATAAACAAACAATGATTGAAGTTATTTATTCAGCCATTTTTAATGAAATGAATAGACTACTCTGTGAATGGAAAGGACTGTTCATTTCACGGATGGGAAGGATAAACGTGATTAGATACTATATAATTCCAAAACGGCTGTATTTACTTAGAATGATCCCATTAAAGTTGCCTCTATGCTGGATTAAGGCATTTCAGACTAAGGTTAATGGCTTCGTATGGGATAATAAGAAACCTAGAGTGTCAAAAAAAAATTCTTTGCTCCAGTTGTAGAAAGAAATATGCCAAGCTTTCAAACGGTATGCAGAGGAAAGTATGTTATGTCACTTACCTAAGCTTCAGTGTAAACAAAGTAAAGATACAAATTGGTACTATATAGAACAAGAACTTGAAGGAAAGGCTAATTTAGAATGCATATTATGGTTCCATCTTGAAAAATGTAATGCTTTAAAATAAAAATAAAAAAGCCAATGGTTATTGGTGACTAAGAATTGTATTGAATTTTGGATATTATTTAAAAAAACTTATAGGCATTAAAGACAAAGAACAACATTCCTCATCTAAAGCTTGACAAATGAGGTAAGTTTCACACCCTATAGAATAAGAGATTTTATGTCTAAGGAAGGTATTAAAATCCTAATACAGATTCTTAATGAATATGCACTTAAAGAATCAGAATATTTTAACTCCCTCAGATTGTGGCATTATTTAACCCCTTAAGACCGGAGGGCGTACTATTACGCCCTATTTTAAGCGGCTCTAAACGCCGCCGGGCGTAATAGTACGCCCTGCAGTCTTTTCCTACTTACCTGGTCGCCGGCGATCCCACGCCGGCGATCGAGGTTCGGGGGACTCCCAGGGAGCCCCCCGCGGCACGTCCGACCCCCTGGAAGCCCCCGGCCATATGAGAGTGGGGTCCTTGCGAGGACCCCACAATCACATGGCCTGGGGTAGCTGGCTGCAGCATTGCCAGCAGGGGGGCTGCCTGTAATGACAGGTGGTCCCCCTGCTGGCTGAAAATAAAATTAAAATAAATAGTGTAAAAAAAAATAATATATACTTAGACACATATACATACACACATGTATACACATATACATACACACACGTACACCGTAGGTGTATTTTACTATTAATATATATATATATATATATATATATATATATATATATATATATATAAAATTATATATATTAATATCAAATTACACGTAGACTGATACTGATTAAATAGATATATAATTATTGTTATATATATATATATATATATATAATATAAAAAATTAAAAATGTAAATACGTTAAGTAAAATTAAAAAAAATTAAAAATAAATAATTAAAAAATATATAGATGTGTTATTTCGTTCTAACTGTATTGTGAAATTAATATATATAATTATATATCAAAATACACGTAGAACAAAATAATATATATATCTACATAAATATATACGTATATATCACTATATATATATATATATATATATATATATTTATATATAAAAAAAATATTTTAAAAAAATTATATATATATATATATATATATATATATATATATATATATATATATATATATATATATATATATATATATATATATATATATATATATTTATGTAATATTTTTACATAATTAGGTATCTTACTTAATTACAATTAGCGGGACCTGCCTGACAACCCATGCCGAAAGTAAAGGGAATTTAATTTGCTAGCAGTATATTTAACCCTATAACTTTCCAAGACTCCATAAAATCATAGGGGTAATTTTCATTCTTGGGCTACCATAGGGTCTCAAAGGCAACGTAACCAATCTGGCGAATTTCAATGTGAAAAAAATGAAACGCAAGCCTTATATTTGACGCTGTACCTTTTGAAAACACCATAAAACCTGTACATGGGGGGTTCTGTTCTACTCGGGAGACTTCGCTGAACACAAATATTAGTGTTTCAAAACAGTAAAATGTATTACGATGATATCGCCAGTAAAAGTGACGTTTTTTGCATTTTTCACGAACAAACAGCACTTACACGGACGATATTATTGCTGCGATACTTTTTACTGTTTTGAAACACAAATATTTGTGTTCAGCCAAGTCTCCCGAGTACAACAGTACCCCTCATGTAAAGGTTTTATGGTGTTTTCAAAAGTTACAGCGTCAAATATAAGGCTTGCGTTTCATTTTTTTCACATAAAAATTCGCCAGATTGGTTACGTTGCCTTTGAGACCCTATGGTAGCCCAAGAATGAAAATTACCCCTATGATGGCAAACCATTTGCAATAGTAGACAACCCAAGGTATTGTCCAGTCTTTTTTAGTAGCCACTTAGTCACAAACGCTGGCCAAAATTGGCGTTTTTTTGAATTTTTCACACACAAACAAATACTAACGCTAACTTTAGACAGTGTTTGTGACCAAATGGCTACTAAAAAAAGACTGGACATACCCCATTTGCAATACCTTGTGTTGTCTACTATTGCAAATGGTATGCCATTATGGGTGTAAATTTAATTCCTGGGCTACTATACAGTTTCAAAGGCAACGTAACCAATCTGGCGAATTTCAATTTCAAATGTAACGTGCTATATTTGACCCTGTAACTTCCCAAAACGCCATAAAACCTGTACATAGGGGGTACTGTCTTACACGTGAGACTTTACTGAATACAAAAATGTGTAATTATGTTTCATAGCTAAATATTTGATATTAAATGAAAGCCCTGTTTCCTCTGAATAAAATGATATATAAGGGTGGGTGCATTTACTATGAAAGAGGTGAATTACGGTTGGACAGACATGTAGCGCAAATGCCAGGTTTTGTTTACATTTTGTTTTGTTCACAACGTGTACATTTGGCTCCGTCCTTCAGGGGTTAAAGATTCATATATATAACAATAATAGAAATAAAATTGCCCACGACATTATAAATATTTGAATAATGCGTTTGTAAAAAAAAAAAAAGAGAGATGACCAAGATGGTATAGAACATTAGAAGATATGGATGAAACAGGCAATTTAAAACCTAATGAGAGTTGGCAAAGGGAATTGGAATACTGCTTAAATTTAGAAGAATGGATTAATAGTTTAGTCTGAGTTAATAAGATTACTCATCGTTTAAATATGGTCGAATTATATTAGAAGATTATAATGCGATGGTACTTGGTTCCGGCACGAAGGGCTAAATTTAGTGCTGATGTGAATCCAATATGTTGTAGATGCAATGAGGTAGTAGGAACCTACCAACATATATAGTGGAGTTGTAGTAAGGTTAAACAGGTATGGATTTATATCTTTGGTATTCTTTTTGGCCTAATCAATATTAGAATTCCACCTAAGATTCAAAGGGCCCATTTCATATGGAATTAGAAATGTTATAAAGAAATGATAAGGCTGTATTTTTACAGGGACTTTTAGCTGTAAAGATTGTCCTAGCTAGAAATTGGCGTCAAAATGATATTAACCCTTTAAGGACCAATGACGGTTCAGGACCGTCACCTGAAACATCCTCATGAGGACCGGTGATGGTCCTGAACCGTCATAACGGTGTTATGTACTTACCTGATTGCCGCTGTTCCCCCGGTGGCGATCGGCGTTGCTCCCGGTCCGGGGGAACTGCCTGCAGCCCAGGCAGTCTCCATGCGGCAAATTAGGACCCCGCGGCCACGTGATCGCTCTAACAGAGCGGTCACATGGCCACAATAGCTGTCCATGTATCTGCTATTTTTTTACATTGAAATTTGCCAGATTGGTTATGTTGCCTTTGAGAGCGTATGGTAGCCCAGGAATTAGAATTACCCCCATGATGGCATACCCTTTGCAAAAGAAGACAACCCAAGGTATTGCAAATGGGGTATGTTCAGTCTTTTTTAGTAGCCAATTAGTCACAAACACTGGCCAAAGTTAGCGTTCATAATTGTTTTTTGCATTTTTAACACACAAACAAATATAAATGCTAACTTTGGCCAGTGTTTGTGACTAAGTGGCTTCTAAAGACTGGACATTCCCCATATTGAAAACCCTGGGTTCTCTACTTTAAAAAAACATGAACATGTGAGGTGTGATGTGGAGATTTATGACAGATAAGTGTTACAATGTCACTATTGATATATTTTAAAAATATATATTTTGAAACAGTAATTTCCTACTTGTACTTATAGCCCTATAACTTGCCATAAAAAGCACATAAACACTGGGTGTTTTTAAACTCAGGACAAAATTTGTGAATCTATTTAGCAGTTTTTTTCAGTAGCTTTTGTAGACCAGTAAAAGATTTTTCAAAAAAATAATCTTTTCAAATTTTCACCATATTTTTTATTTTTTTCTTAAAGTTAAATATATGACATGATACAAATAATGGTATGTAAAGAAAGCCCTTCTTATCCTGAAAAAAACCCAATATATAACTTGTATTGGAACCGTAAATGAGAGGAAAATTACAGCTAAACACAAACACCACAAAAGTGTTAAAACGGCTCTGGTCCTTAACAAACATGGCCAAAACAGTCCGGTCCTGAAGAGGTTAAAGCTAGATAATGTAATTAATCAGATGAAACATCAGGCACAAATGGAAAGGTGATACTACTCTGCACAATTTAATTATGGAAAATATTATCAAGTATGGAAAAGGAGGCTTTTAATATATCCAAGATGATATCCACCTCCTACTGTTTCTTTTTTTCTCTTTCTTTGAATATAAATAGCAAAATCAAAGATAGCCCGCTTACCACGATACACATGCATGTCTGGGTTTGTTAGTGCATATTCTGTGCTTATTGTATTTTTTGTTGTTAGTATATGTACTGGTTTATGCTTTGTTATTAATCTTTTATGATATGTAGGAACATCGCTGTAACACTCCTAGATATATATGATAAGAAAGTTCTAGGCGGGGGCGGAGCCTGATCGCCGAGGCAAGCGGTCGCACTAACCTGGAGCTCCGAGCCACAAACAAGAAAAAAACTGGGGAAAACACCTAAACAACATACCCCTAATCCCAAGCGGAGACCCCCAACACACCCCCTGATAAAATGGGGCACAAAACAAAAAAACATCCTTGGGAAAAACCCAACTCAGGACTCGCCATAGAAGACATGTGGAGACAGGCCCGAGGCGCTAGCGGGCCCAATGTGGTGGCGCTCCATGGAGGCTGCTCCGACTTTTCCGATGACCTCTCCGGAGAGGAATACTTACCGGCTCCCATGTCGGGACTGTCATCACAGCCGACCAATCCCAACCCGGACTCCACACCGGTGACAGCGTCGGTCCTAAAGCAACTGCTTGCGGATCACCATAAAGATATCCATAAAGACATCACTGCACTACCTAAAAGGGTTGACAGCCCACCTGAGCACACTTGAAAACACATCCGAAACAAACACCCGAGACACAGGGGAACTCAAACAGGCCGTACATGACCTGCAACTGCAAGAACATTGCATGGCGGAGCAAGAAGATGCCAGATGGTGTAACAACTTGAAGGTTAGGGGGATCTCAGAAACGATACGTGAGGCAGAACTACCACGGGTCATGAAACGTCTGCTTGTGACGATACTGCCACCCACACAAGCCGACAACATAAATCCTGACTTTCTCTTCAAGATCCCCAAACCACCGAAGGTGCCAACTGTGGCCACACGGAACATCATAGTAGCATTCTGAAACAGAATGGACAAAACAGCAGTCCTCGATGCCCTGTGGGGAGAGACACCCCTACAATTTGAAAACATGGCGCTGAGCTTTTTTGCCAATCTCTCCAGTGGCACCCTGGCATGGCGACGATCCCTTCAACCACTTACCACCCTTCTCCGCCAACAAGGCCTCAAATACCGCTTGCGACCGCCCTACACACTAACCATCCAGCAGGGACCTGATCTGGGAACCGAGCGACGCAGCACTGCTCCTGCAAGCACTGGGTCAACCAATGGACTCCCTCGATCAGACAGGCCAGAAGAGCGCAACCTCCCCACAGCACAGGTGGGACCTGACTAGAACCGTCCCATTCGTGCCGCTGGGTTTAACATCCGACCCCTATGTAGCTGTCACTACCTGAACTGGGCCAGGCGGGAACATAAGAGACCTGAACTAAGGCGCGGACCTGAACGCCAATCAGGCTTCATACCCATGAGGACTGCCATATATCCCGGTATCTCCTAAACTCTAACCCCATTGACAGCTGTTTATTTAATTTCCTATTTTGTTTCACCTATTACCTATATTTTAGTTTACTGGTTAGGTATACTTATGCTATATACTGGATTGCAATACAAGGCAGGTCTCCGTGTAGCCAGCCTCACAGCATAGTTAATCTCTTACCTAGCCAAAAAATGCCATAATACATGTCTTGACTTGACGGATCAGTGTTAAACGCATACCCCAGCCCAACTGCATACATACCAATGAAAATGTTTAGGCCTGTCACACAGTTTTACTCACTAGGCTGCACCGACATGGTAGCTTAGAGAGTCACAGCCCACATGTCTTGAAGCTGCCACTAGGAGAGGACACACCATAGGCTGGGCCTGGAAACGCACAATCAAAATAGACCCTTTCATGGTTCACTGATCAATCCCTACATAAGATCACACAGTAGATCAGAATGGTTACTGACCCCACACATATTCTTAATCACTTTATAGCCTACAAGGCAGTTATTTCTTACTCTAGAAACTCCTGCTATGTCCCGCCACATGACCGGTATGTTTAGGCACTTGGCACACCGTGATAAGCAATGGCAATGCTATAACTATTCACACATGCTCAGCCTGCAAAAAGCTTGTTTATGTCTTAAAACGAACACACACACACACAAATGCTAAGCCCTCACGTATTTCTGTGTAAGATGTTGTGACGCTTGACAAAAGCCTGTACTCAAAACCAAAAATGCGCAATTAATCACACCACTTTTTAACCCGTGTATATATACACCTTAATGTGCTGCTGTGTCAAGCTCCTCAGCCCCGGGCTGACTGCCCTCTGATACGCACCCCACTTTAGGCACCGCTGGGCTGCCTAGCCAAGTCCTAATTTAATTTAGTTTGCATGATACACATGAGTATGTTTATTATTGTTTATAGTAACTGTTACTATTCGTTGGTTAACTCCCCTTGATCTAAAGTCCACTTAGGCATACCCCTGTAAAATACCTAGCGCGGCGCTCCGGGTTTGTCCCTTGATAAGCCTCTCCCCCCCCATGAGCTCTGGGTTTAAAGGGCTCCTAACTACCCAGACATACTTTCATACCATGTTGGCACACTGAAAGCACTTGACTGCCCCAGGTTGCCAGATAACAAGGCTTCTGCTCAATAACTCGTAGTATGGTTACCCGCGCCTGCTTTAACAGGCTCCATAGGAACTACCTGATAAGGGCTCTCCTCCACAGAGGCAAAGTATGACATCCATCTCCCTTAAACTAAAATTGGTAAGATTCCCCCCTCAATGATCAACACTGCCCAGATATGTCAAGAGGTACTATACTGATATGACATTTCAATACAGGAATTAGCATATGTTCACTCCTCTATTATATGGCTGACACTAGCTTGTTTGCTGCAGCACGTTGCCTCCATGAATATTGAATGATAAAATGTTTAAAGGCAATACTGAGTAGCAAGTGGCCCAGACTGCAGTATTATTGCCACCCTTTAAATTTAATTTTAAGTGAATTTCCTTATACAGCACGAAGAGTTGTACACTGTTAATAATACCAGAAGTTATATCACCCGCTAGTTCCGCTTTTCAACCTACTTATGCTGATGATGTATCCAGTAGGCAGTAAATAACATGTTTATTAAGCTTGTTTTGTCGTAATCGACATGTCTAACGTTCCCTCTCCATTCACAAGTTCAACACCAGATATTAATGTAGGCATGTCGACTGGGCCTGCGTCTACCTGTTCTTAACATACAAAAAAATAAGGTATTGCTAATCGTTTGTGAATTGCTACACACTAATTGTACACTGTATGCTTGATCATTGAATGCTTGTATTGTTATACTAATTACCTCAATAAAACAAAAAGAATGTCAAAAAAGAAAGTTCTAGGCTATATTTGTGATACAGCTTGATCCAATACATATGCTTGATCTATGTTGTTTCTATTTTCAATGTCCCCCTTCCTGAGGAAAAAGTAAGAAGAGGGGAAAGGGGACCTAAAGCTTATTTACTCCTATCCTACCCCCTAACTTTATAGGCCCAAACAGTCTCACACACACACACACACTACCCATCACCCACACACAGAGCACCCCTCACAAATACAGCACCTCTCACACACAGAGCACACTGTTCAGACAGAGAACCCCTGACACACACAGCACCCCTCACACACACACACACAAAGCAAAATAGAGCACCCCTCACATCACCTATATGCACACACTATGTGTGTGTATCTGTATATCTGCATGTATGTCAGTGTGTTCATCTGTGTGACACGGTGTGTGTTAGAGGGTATGTATATTTGTGTCTGTGTATCTGCATGTGAGCCAGTGTATATATCTCTGTGTATCTGCATGCCTGTGTCTGTATGTGTTTTAGGGTATGTATATGTGTGTCTGTGTGTGTCAGGGAATGTGTCTGTATATGTGTGTCAGTGTATCTGCATGAGTGTCGGTGTTTTATTATGTATGTATCTGCATGTGTCAGTGTGTATATGTATGTTTTTGTGTGCCTGTGTTTGTATGTCAATGTTTTTATCTGTATGTTTGTGTAACGTATCTGTACATTTGTACCCGTATGGATGTCAGAGTGTGTGTGTGTCTGTATCTGCACGTGTGTCAGTGTTTGCATCTGTGTACTTGCAGGTGTGTGTGTTTCTGTATATATATGTGTGGGTCAGTGTTTTATTCTGACGGTTTCTGTATGTGTCAGTGTGTGTATCTGCATGTATGTTTTTGGGTGCCAGTGCTTGTATGTCAGTGTTTTTATCTGTATGTTTGTGTATCATTATATTTGTGTCTGTACATCTGTACCCGTATGTATGTCAGTTTGTGTATCTGCATGTGTCAGTGTTTGCATCGTTGTATCTGCAGGTGTGTGTTTCTGTATCTACATGTTTGTCAGTGTTTGTGTGTCTGCAGGTGTGACAGTTTGTATGTCTCGGGCAGAGGATGAATGGGGAGAGCCTGGGGTGTAGGCATGGTCGTCTTTAAAGCGGGGCAAACTGCCCCGTGGTCCCCGCGATTTGAGCAGCCCCCAAGGACCTGGCGGTGCGGCTGCACAGAGCCGCACCAGCCACACACTAAGGAGGCCCCCCGGTGGGCATGTGTCAGCAGGGGCCCGGTCGCTTCCTGTCCGGCAGCATGCTGGGAGGAAGTGAATGCTGCGCGTCTCTTCCTTCCACCGGAGATCACAGCCTCGCGGGCAGGAAGGAGGGGCGTAATTGGGGGGTGGTAGGAGCAGGGCCCAGGGGGCCCAATAAAATGCATTGTCCAGGGTCCTAATTATATAATAGACGGCCCTGGGCATAGGAGAAGCAGGGAGAGCCTAGGGCAGAGAGAAAGGGTAGATGGGACAGAGACAAATGTATAAATTTTGAAATAAATGCAACTATATTACAAAAGTTTTGTAAATTAGTGGGGGTACAATTTATGGAAATGTGCTACCAAGGGGTACTCAGGTGAAAAAAAGGTTGACAACCACGGTCATAAAGAAACAATGGAGCATGGCCATTGATGGACTGTCTGGCTGAAATACAGGAAGCAGGGAGATATGATATGTAGTCACATGAGAAGATAAACTGCTCACAGTAAAGATTTAGTAAAATGAAAATCCAGCACACTCCCTTATCTACTAAACAGCTGATAGATTTTGCTAGTTTTATTAAAAACACATAATCTAGGCAAAAAATAATGGGGGTTTAGTTACATTATATAATCATACATTGCATAAGCTTGCCACAACATTAATGTACCCCATCTTTGGCAGGTCCTACTCTTACAACCAACTGTCTACTAAATTAGCTAATTACTTGAGGAAATCCTTCCATCTCTAGTTCTCTGCAGTACAAGGGTAAATATGGTCCTGAAATGAGGCACCTGTGACAGGGAGGGGTGCAAAACCAAGGAACTGGCTAGACTCCTAAAAATATATATATATAAAAACAAAAACAAAGGGTTGGCTGCACTCACCTGAACACGCTTAAATGGGGTGCTGCTGGGGGCCAATAAGTACAGTAAAAATGAAAATCCAGTGCACTCCCTTATCTACTAAACAGCTACTTTGGTGCTGACAGATTGTGCTAGTTTTATTAAAAACACCTAATCTAGGCAAAATATAATGGGGGTTTAGTTACATTATATGATCATACATTGCATAAGCCTGTCACAACGTCCCTGTACCCCATTATTTTTTGCCTAGATTAGGTGTTTTTAATAAAACTAGCAAAATCTCTCAGCACCAAAGTAGCTGTTTAATAGATAAGGGATTTTCATTTTTACTGTACTTATTGACCTCCAGCAGCACCCCGTTTAAGCATGTTCAGGTGAGTGCAGCCAGCCCCTTGTTTTCCCATATATATATATATATATATTTAGGAGTCTAGCCAGTTCCTTGGTTTTGAACCCCTCCCTGTCACAGGTGCCTCATCTCAGGACCCTATTTACCCTTGTACTGCAGAGAACTCGAGATGGAAGGATTTCCCCAAGTGAGTAGCTCATTTAGTAGACAGTTGGTTGTAAGAGTAGGACCTGCCAAAGATGGGGTACATTAATGTTGTGGCAGGCTAATGCAATGTATGATCATATAATGTACCTAAACCCCTATTATTTTTTGCCTAGATTAGGTGTTTTTAATAAAACTAACAAAATCTGTCAGCACCAAAGTAGCTGTTTAGTAGATAAGGGAGTGCGCTGGATTTTAATATTCACTGTACTTATTGGGCCCCCAGCAGCACCCCATTTAAGCATGTTCGGGTGAGTGCAGCCAGACCCTTGTTTCCCCACAGTAAAGATTTAAACAGGTACTTCTAAAGCTCATTTATACTCTAGTTGCGTTGAAAAAAAGCATTAAATTAAACACCCTCTTGTCCTTTTAAATAACTAATATGTGTTGGTGCAATAAATGAGAAAGATGCAAATTGCGGTTGAACACAAATAGCAAAAAATGCTATAATTGCTTGTGTCTTTAAAGGAACACTATAGTGCCAGGAAAACAAACTTGTTTTCCTGGCACTATAGGGTTATTAGGTCTCCCCCTCCCTCTGAACCCCCCTCCTGCTGGGCTGAAGGGGTTAAAACTAGGGGGACTTGGCATCCAGACCACTTAAAGGATCACTATAGGCACCCAGACAACTTCAGCTCAATTAAGTGTATGCCCAGCTTTTGCAGCTGTGCCCTTAATGGGTTAAATGGAAAATATAACTTAAATGCAAGTTTAATTTGTTTACAATGCAATATCCTGATGTACTTATTTGATAAAATATATATAATCTCTGATATCTGGAATAAAACCAAATTATGCGAGTTATTTTATACATGCTAACAAAACTAGACCCACGTAACCAGCAGTAAGAGTTGCACGTATATCTGAGTTGATACTTTTTTTTGCTTTTTAAAATTGTGTTTGTTTATTTCACAGGTAGGCAATCTGTAGACGTTTAAAGAATCTCTGGTTGTTACCCGGGGCTGGTTGTCCTTGGATCTAATTCAAGCAATGATGCAAACAAAACACACATTTGAGAACCTGACTCCTGTTGTAGAGTCGTTTTTCCTTGCACCCCATTTCCATTATACGCCAGTGTCCTACCCTCCCACTATCAAGCAGCAGCAGCTGTATCACAAGCAGCCTTTGGAAGGAGCAATCTGCAAAGTGCAGGATCGCACTGAGCATGTCACTTGTGAAAAGGCTGCAAGCAACTCATTATGCACACAGGCAGCAGATGGAAAAGAAACGCAGCAAACAATTGCATCTCTCCCCATTTGCAAAAAGAAAGCACGCTGGTCGTGGAATGAATTCTATTCCAAAAATTTCAGATTGCTGAGGAAGATGGGGAATCAGGATGGAAAGCTGAAAAAAAGCTCAGGAGATGTGCAGGATGGATCAGAGGCAAGGCCTATAAATGGAGAACATACAAAGAAAGGAGTCAGAAGGGCACTGGGAAAACGAGGTGAACACCATGGTAAGAAAAAGAGCAAGTCTGAGTCCAAAGCATCTGTGTTCTCCAATTTAAGGATCAGGAAAACGCTTTCCAAGGCCAAGGATGGAACATGTGACTCCAAGGAGGATGTACTGGGCAGCCAAGCTCTGCAAATAGAGGAGCTGGATAGTGCCTGCTCGGTAGCTACAAAAACCCCAGATCTCAGCCTTTCAGCGGATGAAGGAGGGCTGTCTGATACAGATGTTGACCATTTCGAGATCCCCCATGATATCCCAGCAGCTGCTCTTCCTATTGGAGAAGCGCAGGAAGGACAACGGACAAGTTCTGGCTCTGACACTGATATTTACAGCTTCCATTCGGCCACAGAACACGATGATCTGCTCTCTGACATCCAGCAGGCCATTAAACTGCAGCATTCCCAGCAGGAGGCTGTTGGAAGTGATGCAAACCTCTTGCTGTCTAAACTTGTGGGAGGTTCACTGGGTAGTTCGAGTACTGTGCTCCTGGATGCAGTTGAGAATGTGGACCAGGGACTGTGTAATCTGATTTCACCTCTCACAGAGGAGCCCGTGCATCTGATTGGCTCAAGTGCCTCTCATCATCCTAACGTCTTGCAGGAATTAAGTTACCGGGAATCTCCAAACACAGCAGTTGCGAATGGAGAAGTGGCTACCGAGCTTAATCTGCCATTTCCACGTTCTTTTAGGGCAGAGGACGAGACCGTTCAGGTATCTGATGCCGCCGAAGGTTTGGAAATTGATACATTTACTTTGCAGGCCGTGGGCTTGCCAACTACTAGTGGAGATGCTACAATTAGTAACAGTGTATCTGAAAACGATCTGGGAGATCCGGTCTGGGGACCAGAAGAGACAGATGGCTTATTCACCGAGAGCAGAACTCACAAAGCAGAAGTGCTTGGAAGCGCTGTAATTGGGGCACAGAGAAGACAGGCAGCTTTGTCAAACAATGCCGGAGTCAAACCATATCCACCAATTAACCCATGTTACATCAAAACTACAACCAGACAATTAAGTTCTCCAAACCATTCTCCTTTTGCATCGCCATCAAACAGCCCCCAGTTTCATCGCAAGCAGGGACAACTTCTAAAGCAGGGCAGCATCATGACTAGAAAACAGAGGTCATGTAGCCTTGCAGGAAATATCAGCAGATCTGCAGACTGGACAGAAGAATTGAAAAATCGCCAAAATAAAGATTTAAGGAATGGGAGCTTAACGGATTTCTTAGGTCATGGAGCAAATGGTAAAATGAACGGTGCAGAAAGTCAGCCAAGTGTATCCAGGAAATCATCGACTGCTCAAGTGTCTACTATGAGCCTTCCAAATGTGTTTACAGGTAAGAAAGTTATTTGTTTTTGTTTTATTTTCCACTTGATGAGCGGATTCTTCTACATTATGTAAACTCTGTATGCGAGAAAAAGTAAATAACATGTTCATGATTATTCCTTGATATTACCACAGTCTGCAATTCTAAGTTTAGTGAATAAACCCATTGTGATTGCCAGAGAAATGACTAGGCTTAAGGAATTATAATAGCTGAAGTAAAATATTTCTCTCCAACTTAACTATTTTTAAAGCAAATCCTTTGCAAGTGGCAGGTCAGTTGGGGGGAAAAAAACCATCTGGTATGAATGGTTTTCTGAGGCTGTAGTTGGATATTCAGGGAATTGGGTGTTTTGGTGCTGCCAAATGCATGTTTTTATTACAACATATAGTGACCATGTGCATAGGGTCAAGAACACAAACCTGTATTCCTGACGGGTGTGACTAGGCCTGCATGGATAGAAACAAAGGGCATTTTACTCCTAAATGACAAATAATTGAGCAGTGTGACCATAGGGCTATGATCTATGTACTAGAACTGGTTCATTAGGCTAATGTGTTTAAAAATATAAAAAAATAAGTCCTGTGCTCAAACTCTTGGGTGGCAGTAATGCTTTCCTATGGACGGTTTGAATGCGTGCGGCTCTTGCCGCGCATGCATTCGGAGCTGAGAGGCAGATTGGGGTGGAGGGATCCCCAGTGCCAAGGGAGTCCAGCACTGGAGAAAGGTAAGTGCTGAAGACACACACACTCTCACGAACAGACGCATACACACTAGCGAACAGACACACACATTTACTGACAGACACCAAACACACTCAGACACACACACACATTCTCTCACTAACAGACGAATACACACTAGATAACAGACACACACACTCAGTGACATACATACACACTCACTGACAGACCCCAAACAGACTCACTAACAGACGCACAGTAACACACAGTAACACACACTGACACTAACACTAATACGCACTGTAACACGCATACACTCTAACACTAACACACACACACTTTTTTAAAATTTAATCCCCCAGCCTCCTTACCTTAGGGAGAGCTGAGTGGATTCCCTGGGGTCCAGTGGTGTTGCTGGCCCTGGTGTCACCCGGCTGGCGGGCGTGCGAGGGAGCACTCTCCCCTGAGTGCTCCCTCTTCAGCTCCCTCGCACGCTGCGTACTGATACCGGAGCTGGAAGATGTCATCTTCCGGTATCAATGTGGTGCGTGAGAGGGAGCTGAAGAGGGAGCACTCAGGGTAGAGTGCTCCCTCGTGCGCCCGCCAGCCGGGACACCAGGGCCACACTAGCTAACAGATACACACATTTACTGACACTGACTAGCAGACACACACACTCACTAACAGACACACACACTCACTGACACACTCTCAGACACACTCACTAACAGACACGCTCACACACACACTAACAGACA